CTGACAATTTAGAGGGAAAAATTTACAGTGAAAAAGAAGGAACTTTTGATTTTTACTTTGTTGCCTTGAAATAAAGAAAAATAATGGAAACTTCCTGCTCTTATTAATAGCCATTTTCAACTCAATTACTTGAAATGTTACACCATTTTGTAATGCAGAAAACACAAAAAAAAGTGAAAAAAGTGTGAGTGTTTGTGTCTGTTTGTGTGTTTGTCCAATAAAACAAATATCACACAAAGGCATCCCTGAATTGTAAACTGTAAAACAAAGATATTGATCCAAATCACTTCAGCTTCATTACAGAAAACATGATCAAGTCAAGTCCATGTGCCAATTAGCAGTGTTAAACTCCCTGGGCTCTGTCTCTCTGACTCATGTTTTTACTGTGTTTCCAGGCCCCTTTAAGAGCAGTTCAGAATCTCCTCAGAGAACTGTGCCTAACATCCCAAGAAATGTCCCCAGTTACCAGTATCAATCTTCACCATTAAAAGCTGTACCATGTCGGGCCGGAGGCCTCGGCGGACAAGCAGAGCAGGGAGTGGAGATTGTTATTTTTATTCCCAATTCATTTCTGGGGTAGGGGCCATTTTGGGCCCATGTTTGCGGCATTGCCGATTGAGTCAAATGCCAGATTAAATTAAGTGTGATTGGAGGGACCGCGCAGTTGACGGTAAGGGACCGTGCTAAAATGGGTCAGCGTAGACAATGAAGGCCCTGTAATTAAAATGATGTGATGAGCTAGAGGAGAGCTGTGGCTGCCATGTGAAGAGTCAAACAACTGTGTGCCTGCCCATATGCAGACCTAAATGAAAAGTTTGGGATATCTGAAGGATGGGATCACTTGATTTTTGGAAGATAAAGGCTCCTAAAATACAACAAAATGACTGTAAATGTCTAGCACTGCAGTCACAGCCCAGACAGGTTTGCTATTTGCAAGAAACCAGGCTCCTCAGTCTTCCCAGTTCCAAAAAAAGTCAGTTATGTACTTGGGCTTTGCTTCTTTCAGCGGTGGGGAATCATGAGGAAGCCATAGAAAATGGTGCTTTAAAATAGCTTTGGGGTAGAAGGCTTTTACTAACAGAGTGAATTCACAGATAAAGGTGCTCTGTAATATGAACTGTGCTAAGAGTCAGACATGGCTACACGGCAGCATAAAATGCTGGGTTCCCAGTGTTTTTATTTCGCCTTCTGCACCACCAGCACATTTCTTCAATAACTGTTTAACAGGAGAGAATTAAGAGCTTACATGGACCCTGATCCTGAAGTGAAAAGACTCCAATGTCTGAATAATCACAGGCATTTAGAAAAGCCAAGCAACCTTGCAGCAAATAGGATACGTGTGAATTTCTAGATTTTTCTACAAATGCAAAGTATTGCTTTTCTTATTAGTCTTCTGACTAGATTTCTGAGATTTTTTTTTTTTTTTTAATCGCAGTGAATGTTTCAGTTATTCATTATCAGAGACAGTAGTACCAATCACAATTTAAACACGTTTTTTTCCTGACTAAAGCCAGTGTAATTTTGCTTGATTTTTTTCCAGCTATCTTTTAAATCCCACTTCAAGAACATTTGTATGAAAGAATGTCCAGTGGGAAATAAGGTGTTTTACAGCTATTACAGCAAACAAAATTATTTCAACCTCAGGGTGAACACAATATTGCACCAACATGACCCCCTCTCACTCCCAATATGATGGAGTAACCACACAGATCCTATCAGTAAACATGAACTGGACAACGAAGAATCCACAGAATACAAGCCTGAAGAGCCTTTGATAGCACAGCTGCCTTCTCTTCATGCATACAAATGAAATGTGCATATGTATTAGTGCAAACATCAAATACTGCTTTATCAATGGCAATTAAATGATAAAGCATGACTGGGAAAATCCAAGGTGACAGTTTTCACCAGAAAAGGGAGAAACATAAAATAGTGTTTTCTTTTATTTTCAAATCAGCTTCAAAAGACTGCTACTTGGTTTTACTGTACAATCATA